TAGTTGTATTTCTTCTAAAAAGGATTTGTTCATTCTTCTGGTAGTCCACGGTAGTTCAGTATTCTTCATCAACACCACAGTGATTTCTAGGGGCTTATTAAAGATTACCCCTTGGTCTATAATATGAGTTGGAAATATTTTCCCTAGCTCTCCTAGTCACTTATATTTTGACTTTGTCAGCGGTGTTTTGTTTTTGTTTTGCCACACTTAAGTTTTTACTTTTATATAGTCAAAATTTTTAATCTTTTTTTTTTTTATGGCTTCTGATTTTTGCATCATTTCTCTCCCACATTTATTAAGGAATTCTTAGGCTGAGTTTTTGCTTGTTTGCTGTTTTGGTTGTTCACATAAATGAAGTTATACTATTTACAATATTCTACGTCTCTGCTTTTTTTCACTTAAGTGGTGTTAATGGCTGTCTGATGTGCCATAGCGCTAATGTTCAGTAATTTATTATCCACCGTTAGAAGCAGCCCTGGTGGACCAAATCTTGCATGTGTCCTAGTGAGTTGTGAGGTCGGGATGTGTGAGAAACACGACACAGACAAGGAAGCAGGCTTAGACTGTGCTTGTTTTGTTTCTTTACTGGCAGAGCCCCCTAGTGGCTGAAGCACAAGGAGATTCAGACTTAGAGACCTGGCTTTTCTGGCATAGGAAGTGAAGCTAGTGGCCTTGATATCTTCAGATTGAGATGTGGGGAAACTAAGGCTCCTAGAAGGTTGGTGACTTGCCCCAGCTCATCAAGCACAAGCCCAGAACCTAAGCCTCCAAGCCCCCAGGGTGCAGCTTGGACAGTGCCGGGCTATTCCTTATGTTATGTGACTTCTCAGTCCCCAAGATGTTCAGCAAGTCACAGTGTCTCAAGACGCTGGCTGAAGAAATATTACCTTTACCTAGAGAAGTCAACAGTCAAGGTAGAAAGAGTTCTGGGCTGCTGCAAGTGTCTCTCCTCTTCCCTCCTTTCTCTGTCCTTAGTAGCCTCTCTTCTGAGTGCTCCCATCACCACAATGGTCCAACTGTGTTGAGGTAGGGTGTGGGGAGGGGCAAGGCGGCAGTCCTCAAAATGCAAGGCAGCCAAGACTCTGAAGGCAGATCTGTGCTGCTCCGGAATTTCTCTATCAACTGGCAACCAACTGGTGGAAAAAGACCCTCGAAGTTGTTTGCATTGACAAGCCCACTGTTTTGTTTTGTTTGTTTTTTAATAATATTTTATTGTATTTTCAGTAGGTTTACACAGCAGTTTAGGTTCCCATTTAACAATTTCTACACAAGTTGTTCAGTGACATTGGTTACATCCTTCACTATACATGAACTTTCTAATTATTTCTGTTCTGATAATCTACCATTGAAAAAAATTAGGTCCCCAAGCTTTGCTCCTATATTTTCTTCCAAGGACTTTATGGTTTTAGATTTAACATTTAGGTCTTTGATCCATTTTGAATTAGTTTTTGTGTATGGCGTGAGGTATGGAAACAGTTTCATTTTTCTGCATTTGGAAATCCAGTTTTGCCCAGCACCATTTGTTGAAGAGATTGTTCCTTTCCTCATTGAATGGATTTTGCACCTTTGTCTAAAATCAGTTGGCCATAGATATTTGGATTTATTTCTGGATTTGTGATTCTATTCCATTGTTTTATGAGTCTGTCATCAGTACCAGGCGGTTTTGATTACTTAACTATGTAATATGTTTTGAAGTCAGGAAATCTGAGGCCTCCTACTTTGTTCTTCTTCAAAATTGCTTTGGCTATTCAGGGTCTCTTGTCTTTTCATATAAAACTGAGAGTTAGTTTTTCCATTTCTGTAAAGAATGCCATTGGAATTTTGATTGGGATTGCGTTGTATATGCAGATTGCTTTGGGTAGTATTGACATTTTGACTATATTAAGTCTTCTAATCCATGAGCATGGGATGTCTTTCCATCTATTTAGGTCTTCTTTAGTCTCTTTCAGTAGTGTTTTATAATTTTCATTGTATAAGTCTTTCACATCCCTGGTTACATTTATTCCTAGATATTTTATTCTCTGAGATGCTATTGTAAATGGAGTTGTTTTCTTAACCTCGTTTTCAGACTTCTCATTGCTAGTGTATAGAAACCCAACTGATTTTTGTATGTTGACCTTGTATCCTGCAATTTCTCTATTCCTCTATTAGTTCTCGAAGCTTTTTAGTATCTTCTTCGGGATTTTCTATATATAGGATCATGTCTTCTGCAAATAGGGATAGTTTTACCTGATAATGGCAGTTTTAACTAAGGCCCTATGCTTCTTTCCGAAGGCTTTTCCTGTCTCACTAACTAAATTGTTGGCTTCATGGGTGTAAAGACTAGATCTGAGGCTTTTCTTTTTGCAGCCTTCTAGGGCTCAGCACATTGTTGCATGCCCAGTCCACTTCTATCTCTCCATTCTCCAAGCCTCCAGGACAGTTAGAGTCTTCATACTAAAATTCAGGAATTATCCTCTCATAATTGCATTGTTTAGCCCAATAATTTTCTTGGCTGTTGGTCTTGTTTCTCTGGTGAAACTAACAAGGTCTTTATAGGCAGATTTGCACTGGGTTCCCCTCCACTGAACTTTCTGGACATCTGCCCTACTCACCCTGCAATCTCATTCACTCTCATTACAACACATTCTTAGATTCTATCAAATAGAGGGAAGTGAATGTTTTAATTTTGTACCTTCGGTTCCAGGCATGTGTTCTTTGGGTTCTCATGACAGCCTGAAAAGATACTAGTCTCACAGCTGAAGGGGTAGAGTTTATATTTCAAACTCTGATTCCACTGCAAAGGGGGAGGGATACTCTTGATTTCTCTTACAAGAAAATATGAATTTTCAGAAGGAAGCCAACCCTCTCTTCCTTCCTTTCTCATGTCCTTTTCAGCAGCCTAGAACCAGGTTCTGCCAGCATATTCCAACTGGCTAACAAAAGTTCATGTATCTGTAGATTATCAAAGCTGGATAATCTACATATTTTAGATATTATGACTTAACTAAGGGCCTTCTGAGAATTTATGGCAGAGCTGGCATCAGAGAATCCACATCTCTTAACTCCAAGGCTCCAGTACACCACATGAGTCCTTACAGCAGGATAGGCATGCCCAGAAATCCAGTCCAAAATCTGTGCTTTGCCAACCAACAGAGGCTCTATTTCCACAAGTCTGCACCATGAGTCACAATGGTCTGATTCGCATCCCATCATAGGGATGGCACAGAACCTAGCAGCAGTTTGTTCTGTTGTGCATGGGGTCCTCATGAGCGGGGTTGGGGGTGGGGGGCGGGCTACTAAATGGCAATTAACAACAATACCTGGGGGATCTTTGCTCAAACCTGGATGGGTCCTTCTCTAATTAAAAAGCAAGAAGTTCTCCTTGTCACACTCCATCCAACCACTGCAAAGTACACATTCTTTTCCAATGCACATGGAACGTTCTTCAGAATAGACCACATCTTAGGCCACACAGCAATCCTCAACAAGATCCAAAACACTGAGATAATTCAAAGTATCTTCTCTGACCACAATGCCATCAAGG